TGAGGGGGGCTGAGGGGGAGGAGGATGAGGAGCACAGGTCCTGGGGGGGATTGCGGTCCTGGGGGGATGCTGTGTCTCTGCCCGATGAAATATGCCTGCTGCTGGCGGGCTCTCGGCCCAGAGAGGCATAACCTGGGTGGCCAAGTCAATTAGTTTTGGATGAACTTCTCTTTCTGATGGTGTGTGATGGATGGTGCGCAGTGTGGCTCGCTGCTTCCTTCCTCTACTGGGATATGCCCCTGCTCGCAAAACCTATTGAGAATTCAGGCTGGTGGTTGGGGGTTTAACAGTAATCCTTAAGATGCTGAAATCCGTTGAGCGTGACTCTTGATTCCAGCAGAGGACGGCTGCGATGTGGTAGGGAGATAGAGTCCGACCTCTGTCTTCTAGCGTAAATAGTTCTCAGTGGCATATGACAGAATGATTATCGTAGCTATAAAGATACGCTTTACAAAAGAGGCTTGCCTAATTATTTTTATAGGAATTAAACGTATTAGCAATGAGATTTTGACCCCATGGTATCAGCTCAGTCGTAAATATGGGGCATAGCTAGACTAGTGCTAGACTTTGCATCCCTTTGGAGGCTCTTATAGCAAATTATAATTGTTGCAATAGCAGGAAAACTGAGCTGAGGTTAGCTGGGTAGATTGTTTCTTGTCATAGCATAATAATTAAGCTGTTCATGTAGGGGCTTGCAGCTATTATGGCTTTATCTGGTAAAACAGTGAGATAGAGAACGTCCTTATCACCGGTAATTGTATTACCATGTTACCTCTCTGCAGTAGCCTCTGGTACTCAGTCACTTTGGCAGAGTGTTGAATTTTAAGATTGTTCTGGACTTTTGAAGTAGATTTCCTCTCATCTAGTGACACTTTCTCTACAAAAAGGAGCACAGGCATTTTCGGGAGAAATAACTTGCTTCCAGTGAGCACATTAGAGTAAAATTTGTTCACCAGGGCAACAAGGTAGAGTTGGTTTTACTTGTCACCCCCACTTGATCAAAGCTTAGTCACTTAATATTTTCAGGGCTTAATCTTGAGGCAGCTGCAGGTACTATTTTGAATTTATTTCAGGCATATGCATTTTCTTCACATACGTACCGTGGTTATTACGTTTGTTGTAGTCCATTAAATATATTGATTTGCCAAATGAGAAGGCATATTTTTTTTGATACTGGCAATGAAAACTAGAAAAACTACATAACAGATTTTGTCCTAAGTCAGACCTAGGCCCATAGGGTAGTAGGTATTAATCTGAAGCAGACGTTTCCATCTGAAGAAAGATGTTCTTTTTGGTTTCTTTGCCTAGCCTTGCTTCCCTTTTGAGCTTGAGGTCGCAAAAGAACATTTTCCTCTAACTTGTCCTACCAGTAAACCTCAAGGATCTTTGGGAGGCTGTTGTGATGATGGCTTTCTGTGGGCTGAGGCAATCACGTTTGCATAGTGCTTGATAAAAAAATTGAGAAATAGAACTAAAAGTAAAGAAAGTGTGGTGAAATCCCCAAGGTCACTGCTGTGGTAACTACCAAAACATCTCTACAAACGTGTTTGTCTTCTTTTTCGCTCAGAACAATGCCAAGGTAGCAGTGCTGGGGGCCTCGGGAGGCATTGGCCAGCCTCTCTCCCTTCTCCTGAAGAACAGCCCGCTGGTGAGCAGGCTCAGCCTTTACGATATTGCCCACACTCCAGGCGTTGCAGCTGACCTCAGCCACATCGAGACAAGAGCGAATGTTAAAGGTACTGCGAGCCGCTGGAAACGGTCTGTGCTCTGAAGGGGTCCTCTCGGGTGTCTCTGACACATGGAGAACGCCCGTTGCTGTGCTTGTGAAGGGGAATCTTCATGTGATCCTGAAGCCTAATATCAATTTAAGTAGCTTTTTCTCAAGCAGTGCACGACTAATTAAGGTTTAGCTGATTATATTGATATATATGGAGATGTGAATGGTCTGTGGTTGCACTACCGAAGGGGAATTCATAACAACTGGCAGGAAACATTCGGTAAAAATGTCTTGAAAAAAAGCTTGAGCATTGAATTTAAAAGTTTGACTACAAATAGACTTACCACTGCCTCGGTGTCTACATGAATTCTGCGTGCTGCTTTTCTGAAGGGACAGCTGTCAAGTTCTGATGAAATCAAAGAAAACTTAATCTGCTGATCTTCATTTTATTTGAAGATCACCGAAAGGTTATTCTGCTGGAATGTGTCTTCGTGCAATTCTTTGGGGGCAGTGACAGTAGTGCCAAGCTAGGGTTTTTGAGAGTAAATATACATAAAAGGAGGAACTGGGGGTTTTCAAAACAGATGAATGTGAGGTTCCTGCCGCTCTCATTCTTTAAGTTTTGAAACAAGGGAAAAACATCAAATAGGGTCCATACATAATTGTATTTCTTTGCTTTTTGGCATAGGTCTGAATTGAAGGCTAAATTTTAAGAAGGATTTGGGTGCCTCTAGGCATAATTTTATATTTCAAAGTGTTGAATATTTAGTAACTGGCAAAACCATGATGCCTGAATGTCTTCTATTTCAGGCTTTCTGGGACCTGAGCAGTTGCCAGAATGTCTGAAGGGCTGTGATGTTGTAGTTATTCCTGCCGGAGTCCCTAGAAAACCAGGTATGTTCTCTTTGTTAAAAAGCCCCAGGGCTTCATTGAAGTGTATCTCTGCAGTACTGTTACTCAAATAGAGCTGTATCTGGTGCCTTCTGGTAGTGTTGGCTTGGGATGTAAGTGGTCTGTTAATGACACTGACCTAGGACTTGTGGTATAGGCACCTAGTTTAGCCTCTCTCTTAGATTGTCCCTTGCAAAATGGGCAGAGTTGATTTTTGGAGTTCCTGTGTAGGGATAAGGTGCAAAGACTTTTCATGCGAGTGATCCTGAATCTCCCTTAGAGTTTCTTGCCCAGAGCAAGGCTCTAATGTGGGGGGAGGGAGAGGCGAAGTTCCTTGTTCCATATCTCAGCAGAACAGAAATAATCCATTTGTTTTGCATTAATTGTATGATAACTTCTGAGAGAATCTCGTGAGTGAATGCTATTAATCCTTCCTTGAATGTCTCTGACCTGTTCCATTTCTACTCTGTTTTTTGGTATCCTGTTGGGAACGTAACAAAATTCTAGACTTTAATGCTTAGCTCTTCCTCTTCATTTTTCATGGTTGAAGTAGTTGATGCAACAGAAACGAGAGGTGGCGCTTACTCAAGTAGCGCTATTTTGCACAGAGTGGTTGGCATTCAAACTGTAGTTGTGGAGGTGACTTCGGAGGGGGAGGAGGATTCATCTTAGGAGCAGTCACGCTGCTCTGAGCCCCACTGGTATACTGGTGCGGGTCAGCATGGTCTCACCATACTTCGTGCTGCCTGTACATTATGACAATTGGCAGCTGGGCTGGTCGCTGCTGAAAAGGGCTGGTCTATCTGAAAGGGCAGTAATCTTTTATTAGCGAGAGCAGTTACCTTTGGACTGAATTCATTACTGCAGATAGAGAGTTTTCTCTTGATATATGAAACCAGAAGCTAAAGTTGACGTATGAGCAGAATATTGGTTTTTGATGGAGTTGCTTGCCCATTAATGAGTAGGCTATGGGTAACGTAAAATATTGTACTGGATATGTTTTAGGTATGACCCGTGATGACCTGTTCAACACCAATGCTAGCATTGTTGCTACTTTGACATCTGCCTGTGCAAAGCACTGTCCAGAAGCCATGATCTGTATTATTTCTAACCCGGTAAGCATTTTCTGGAGACCTTGAAAATGTAGAGGGGAAAAAAAAATCCATACTGAGAATACTGTAGTAACCTGTGAGTTGCTGTTAGTTTTGAGCAGTATCTTTAAGGTCTGCAGGGTATTTGCAGAAAAGAACTAAAAGCCTGGTTCTAGTAACCCATTTTTCTTGGGCTGTATTTAAGTCAGAGGAAACTTGGATATAAAAGTGCTTAATATCTCAACATCTGTCTGATTGTTGTTATAGTACGTGCTGGTGTATTAGCTGGAATAGAAGTCTTAGCTCGCTAAGGGGGGAGCCTTTGTAATGTGAATGAAGAAATTTGTTGTCATAGTGATTATTTAAAATGGAAGATTTTTATTCCAGCCTGACTGTAAATTGTTCTTCAATTACAGAATTAAAGTAATTGGCTACAGTTGGCTTTAAATTAGAAGTACACTTCAGGTTGTTTACTGGCCTGTTCATGCATTGGCTTCATTATTATACTGGTTTTAATGAATGCTTGCTTATTCTTGCTTATAGGTAAATTCAACCATCCCAATAACTTCAGAAGTCTTCAAGAAGCACGGTGTGTATAATCCCAACAGAATCTTTGGCGTTACAACACTGGACATTGTCAGAGCGAATACTTTTGTGGCTGAACTAAAGGTAGGTCATAATAACTGATGCTGGGGGGCGGGGTGGGGGGAGATATGGTGTGCTTTGGTCAACAGAGCTATCAAAAATGCTTTTAAAATCACTGCACAGAGCCAAAAGAGCTTGGATTTCTGTGGAGCTAGAGGCAAAGGCAATCATTCCCTATTTCCATTCTCTAGAGGAGCCTGGGGATAGGGTTTCTTGCAAAATGTGGTTCAAGAGACTTTGACCTTTCCTTTTCATAGCTGTCACCTGTGAGCGAGCTACATGTTCGCTTTAATTCTGTTGGCATTTTCAACCCTGCTGGTGCAACCGGAGGAGAGGGTTGAATTGTAGCATG